ATATGAAAATTAAAAATTGATTTTGCAGATTTAAGGCATCTAGACGCAGCCTCCAAATTTAATGGAAGAAGCCTGAAGGTTAAACAAATAAAATCTAATGGGTAGAACAAATCAGTATACGCAGGGCAGCAGGTGCAACAGATTTTAAATTGTAATTGATGGACCTGACGATGATGGAATGAACATCGAAACATGTCGTCATTTTAAAATGTAACAATATTAAATGAAGAAATTTTATAATTTTATGTGATTTTAACAATATATAAGCTTGTGTAAAGACGGTGAATAAAATTGATTATATTAATAATTATATATAATAATTTTTATGTAGGGGTTCCCTGAGACATGAATATTATTTCAAGGGTTCCGCAAGGACAAAAAGGTTGAGAAACGCTGATGTAGAAGTTCGCCACATGTTCTGAGGACCGTTCTGCTTGTATGTCTTTATTACTGCGTTATAAAATTCGACCCAGTGAGAAGCTCGTTAGCCTTGTGATGGCCTCTTCTCTTGCCGATGGCTTTGATGAATCCGTCCACGCGAAATCTCGGACCACCCCTTCCAAGTCCTTCCAATTCATCACGCACTTTCATCTCGTCGTTTCCAGCCAGTCACTAAAAAGACGCGATAGGCACGCGGAAGAATCTGTTTGGCTCCGACATCTTCCTTTTAAGAACCACTGCACAGGTGCAGAACGTTCCAGACTGAACACGTAGCCCGCAGTGCTGAGATTTCGGAATAACGACAATTTAAGTGATTTTTCGGCGGTGAATAAGGACAGGCCTTAAGCCACTGTTGCTCCAGACAGAAAATCCGTCTCTCGTTTTCCAGCAGAACAAACACGGTCCTCAGCGGCGACCGCCCAAGACGTTGTTCGCTGTGACAATGAGCAGAGCTCGCAGAAATTGCCTCCTGGCAGTCGGCAATGCAGCGCTCTGCTATACCCAGAACTGGTTCTAGCTAATGTTTTTCAACTACGCCGCTTTGAGGAACTATTAAAATAATTCCCACCTCTCCTTAACCCGAAATTTAAGTGCAGGCCGTCCCCAGACACTGAACCCAGCTTCACATTCTCATAACATTTTTTTAAGTTCAACATTCGCTTTAATATTATCCTCTCATCAGTACGATGTAAAGTTGGAGTAAGCACTGAGCTTCAAGGCGTATATAACAGGTATTAAGTTTGTATTAAAAGCAGTACGTTGTAGTGTTTCGGGTATGGAATAACCTGCGTTCTTCAGGGTGGGGCCCAGTTCTGATATTTCCTCGTAATTTGTACATCCATCCATTTCGTACAGTGTTTTTTTGTATTTTACTGGAATCACGAAACTGTATAAGATTTGATTAATGAAGTTTTACGTTGCAAATATTTTATAATAGGCCGTTGCATGAGTATCTCGTCGTTTCTGAAATACACAGTTGGGCCTACAAGCATTTTAAGGTAAAAATTAAGCCTCAGTCCCCATGAAAAGGCCGGAGAAAGCTGATCCAGGTTACTGCAACAGAATTCTTGAATATTTACGGATTTATTAACTACCCATCGCCCTGATGATGGAGGCAGCAAGGACCTCTGAAACGTCAGTGAACTTCTACCAGACTACATGCTATAATCATGAAGAGAGTTATCTTCGGATTTAAAGCAGTGAAAACCTCGAATTCTGTAATTTTGACTCAGAAATATTGTCTTACCAGATTTCAAGTGTTCCTGTCGTTACTAAAGTAAATAATTTTGCAGACGGTGTGACGCCACGCCCACATCCCAGGTCCTAGACCCACGACGCTTGTAAACCGGCTTCATCACGGCCCAAGAGAGTATTATTTTTTATCTGTTAAAAAAGGTAATTCTGAATTTAGACAAATGTCAGAATGGACACAGTCCAAGAGCTGAGTCCTGTTGTCACTCTTTTGCGAAATAATGTCATCTGTGTTTCAATTTGGGGGGATGTTTTGCTCATTGACGTAACTGTAACATTGTACTGGAAGTGAGATTTACAGAAGAGTAGTGGAATCTGAAAAAGTTCCTGTTATCTCAATCGAAAACTTAGACTTGTTGATTGTAATGATCGTTAATTAATTTTTACTTCATAATCTCAAATATTTTTCTGTGTGTGTGTGTGTGGCGAAGATGCTGGAGACCACGTGACATAATTCTGCATTCAAAATATCCTGTTCATTTAATCGATCTTCACCCATTGTACTCCGTAAATAGACTTTACCGCTACGTAATGTCGCATATGATCTGTCCCTTATTTGTGACACGCGTGGAATCGAGGAGGAATTCAGAAATATATTGACGGTTTCCAGGAACTAAGCAACCCTCGCCGATGGCAGAGTTCAGACTCCGGCAGACTGCGAGCTGCAAGTCGCTGCTTGTGCGCCGTTAAACACGTCTCTGACTACCGAAGTCTTCCCTGACTGTTCGTAAACGTTTGTACTCCGGTACTGAGCTGTTTCGCCGATGACATGAAAGATTTTTATTGGCAAGATTTAAGGACTGAGTTTCGCAGCTGCTCTGTTAATTTACGCCTGACAAATACAGAACATTTCTAGGTGACTGAATAAGACTCTGATAGCGAGGGGCGAAACTTACCCTCATAATCACGTCTTAATGTTCCTTCAGAAGATCTCATTTCCTAAGCGCAAACCGTGAAGTTATAGTTTTGTTCAATTTATCTGTTCGCGGGTTAATTTGCCTGCGACTCGACGTGTCCTGCTTTCCGATTTGCGGTACTCTGTTCTCCTTCTTCAGTGGATTTTAAAATTTTCAGTCGCTTTTTCCTACGTTTTGTCCGCTTGAACTCAAAAAAATGACTCATTTTCTAAACCAAATTTTAACCACTGATTCCCTCTCCCGCCCTCAGCGCTGACGTGAATCCGCCACTGATTTCCCTCCGTCTAAACCTTCGTTTGAATTGTATCGTGTGCCAGTAAATTGTGAAGCAGCTTTTAGCGTTGGACACCCCTCACCCTTTATCTCACGCACAGAAATGAATTTACCTGAGCAGTTGACCATCAATTCTGAAGCCAGGTCGAGAAGAATGCTCGTGGTACTCGAACTGAAAAGTGTTTTATTTTAAACTTGTTCTTTTTTGGATGGTAATAAAAATACAAAATGCCGTTGGCGTTTGTGCGAATTCAGAAAATCCTACGTATCTTTATCTCTGAATATCTGTACGTTCATCTCTGTTCTGTCTCACCCGAGCGGAAGAATTTAATTAACGATCAGTTCTTAGCGTAAGTAGTTTCATTGTATTTTTCTTTCTGCGTAAAATTCCTAGAACGTTGCAAGGATGTTCGTGAAATGGATCATTGTAAATCGTTGGATCCACAGTAGAGAGGCATAATTCGAAAAAAAATTACAGCCAAAGTAATGTTTCTGCTTATATTTCAAGCTATTAATACTTGTGATTTATCTATGACTAACACTTCAGACGTGTGTTTAAAATTATGTAATTAGATATGTCTGTGTGACTTAAAAATCGATAAATATGATTTGTGAACATTCTCCAACAATTCTTGTAACTTTCCTGAAAACTTGTCTTTTAGGAATTAAACCCGCTTACCCTCGCACAAGACGAAATCAATCCAACGATTTCTATAACCAGATTACATTCCGCAGCTGACTGATTCCTCCTAGCATTTTCAAAATGTAGTCTACTGCAGTGGTATTCAACCTGGGGTACGCGAAGACAGCTTAGGGGGTACGTGATTTTTAAAAAAAAAATATTATTTTATGATAAAAACTGAATAATCAGTAATGTAATTTATTTAATTTATTTTAGATGTAAATTATATACTATGTATAACTTGAATTATACACCAAGAACTTTGGAGGTACAAAGTCGAAGAGAAATTATATCTGGGGGTACGCGAACAAAAAAGGTTGAATACCACTGGTCTATTGCATGCGGTTTCATTCATAAGAGTTGGTCAGTTTCCATTTTGCTACCATGCGTCATGCAACACTCCTCATCGGAGGCGCTGACCGTACGCACCTCGACTCGCTCTTCCTTCAGGTCTACCTTGAGGGCGAGCTGTTCCCTCAGGACGACGTCCGGGTAGTGCGTCTTGTCGAACGTCGCCTCCAGCTGCTCCAACTGCTCCTCCGTGAAGATGGTTCGATGTCGTCGTTTCCTCTTAGGCGGTGGCGCCGAGTGGTGGTGATGGTGCAGGCCGTGGTGGTGGTGGTGTCCAGGGTTGCT